TGTGCGGCACCGGCTCTGTCTGTGTGCGGCACCGGCTCTGTCTGTGTGCGGCACCGGCTCTGTCTGTGTGCGGCACCGGCTCTGTCTGTGCGGCACCGGCTCTGTCTGTGTGCGGTACCGGCTCTGTCTGTGCGGCCCCGGCTCTGTCTGTGCGCCTCAGCCCCGGCGCTGGGAACTGCAAAATGCTTCATTCCACAGCAGGACGTGGCGTTGTGCTCCACAGGCAAAGCTCTGTGTCCCGCCCCGTGCCAGCAGTGCGGTGGTGCTGGAGACGGGTCAGAGCCAGGATTTGTTGGGCTCCGCTGATGTGGCTGCCCTGGGGGAGAAATGTAGCAGCGGGAAGGAGGTGCTTGGTTCTGATACATGTAGCAGCCACAGTATAGTCTGCAGCAGCCACAGTATAGTGTTTTAATTCAGGGATTTCGGAAGTTTGTCGTAATTTCTAGAATTTTGCATGTTGTTAGAGAGTTTTCTCTGCATTATTTGAGAGGTCTTTCACATGCTAGGATATGCAGCTCTTGTTCTGATTTCGCCTTGGCCTTTATAATGAACAAGTATGTTTGAATTTCTTAGCAAAATTGCATCAATGTTTTATTTTTACCCCTTTCTATAACATGATATTACTGCCTTCTTTCTCACTTTTGTGATCTGTACSATGCAATGACACTTAAGCTTATACTCAGAGATATGTATATATTTTATGTAGAGAATGTAATGGTTTTTAAATATAAAAACCTGTAACAAAGCTGTTTGTTAAAATCTTGTAAGCACTGTGTCCTGCCAGAATTCTGCATTTGGTTAAGTGTGGAAAGAAATACATAATAGTTCATCTTATTGTTTGGATGCTTCCAGTTCAGATAGTTAAATAAGTTGTTTCAACAGTAAAGAAACCATACACAATTGTCCAGATCTTCTCAGATAACTTTTGACTGGCAGAAGGAGTTTAGCTTGCTTTTTTTTTTTTTTTTTTTTTTTTTTTTTTTTTGTGTGTGTGTTAGTGAAGTAGGTGGAAAGATCTGTACATCTCCTTTTTATCTCTGAGCTCTTCTTTGGATATGTCATTGTATGTGTGTGTGTGTTAGTGAAGTAGGTGGAAAGATCTGTACATCTCCTTTTTATCTCTGAGCTCTTCTTTGGATATGTCATTGTATGTGGGGAGTGGTCCCTAACATGAGAAGTACATGGACCTGTTTGGAAGTCCAGGGCAGGGCCCCAGAGATGCTGTAGGGGCTGGAGCASCTCTRCTGTGGRGACTGGCTGAGAGAGCTGGGRTTGTTCACTCGGGAGAAGGCTCCAGGGATACCCTAGAGACCCTTYCAGTGCCTAAAGRGGCTCCAAGAGAGCTTGTACACTTTGGTACAAGGGCATGGAGTGACCGAATGGAGGGGAATGGCTTTAAATTGACAGAGGGCAGGTTTAAATGAGGTATTAAAAAGAAATTMTTGGCTGTGAGGGTGGTGAGGCCTTGGCATAGGTTGCCCAGAGAAGCTGGGGATGGTGTCTGTGTCCATGGCAGGGGGTGGAACCAGCTGATCTTGAAAGTTCCTTCCAACCCAACCCATCCTGTGATTCTGTGGTTCTAGTCAGGTACTTAATGATATCGTACTCACTTGTTAAAATGTGGCATACAGGGACAGACAGACATATCTCTTTGATAGAGAGAAACATTCTCTGCATTTGACACTGAAACCATYGTGACACTCCTGGTGATAGTGTGCTGTGCCTCAGAATGCACTGGAAGCAGGGAGTGACTGCTGTTTTTTTTTCTTGCAGGCTTGCAGGAACTTTAAGCTTATAAAAAGAATAGAAAAATGACATTAAGGAAAGGTATGTGTATTTGTGCTTGTCTGATTGGTTTTTCTAATATCTTTTCTATCTGAGTTTCTCAGTCCTTTGGTTAWATTGATGAAGCTTTTTCTTCTTTATTTTCAGTGAACATTTCCATCCTTATAGTGGCTGTTATCATATTTTTGCTAGTTATTCATCATAATTTCCTAAGCCTCAGTGATTTCTTGAGACGGGAATTGTCAGGTATGTTGAGTTTTATTTTCATTAAAAAAATAAGTATTTTTTWAAGATTTGGTGGGTAAACACATGCTTTGGCCAGATAGAACTGGGAGGGAGAAGTTGGTGAAGTTATAGACATAGCAGAGGAGACCAAAGGTAAGTGCAGACTGYTGTAGCTCAGCTTTTTAGTACCATGTGGTGTGTGTGAATATGTGTGGTTAAATGTGTGCAGTTTGTTGTAAATGTGATGTTACTCTATTGATTAACCTCTCAGATTCTCAAAAGCTGTTGCTCTGATTTAGGTGTCTGATATTGGCTTGCTGTAATCCACACCTCAGCTCAGCCATCCAAGTGTGTAGCAGAAATAATTGATGTGTTGTGGATTTTAGTGGGATAATAATAATAATATATAATGCTATAAACAAGTACGTCATTTGTACTCCACAGATCCAAGCCCCTTAGGACTTCAGCCTATAGATTTCATTCCTGCAGCTCCCCAGAGGCTGACAGAGGAGAGGAATGACAAGGAGATTTCTGTGGTCATTGCAGCATCGGATGAGAGGCTCGGGGGTGCAATTGCAGCCATGAACAGCATTTATCAGAACACCAGATCCAATGTGGTTTTCCACATTGTTACTTTGAATGATACTGTGGATCACTTGAGGTAATGATCTTTGGATTTCCACAATACTGTGAACTTTAAGWGTCTCTGAGAAGAGAGTGAGCTGCCTTTCCCTGGGGCTGCACTCCCTGGACTCCCAGTCCCATCTGCTGCTGCCTATGGCAGCTTTTGGATAAGGCTGCTCTGGGAGTCCTACAGCCATTCCTCTGGTCAGGTTTCAGGGATTGAAAAGAGATGTCTTTTCCAGTGGGGAAAGKTAAAAGGTACTTCTACATTTCATCTAAGCACTTCAAATGCTGGCAATCATGTTTMTCCATTTTTATAGATTGTTCTTTGATCCTTGTATTTTTATTCCCTTCTGTCCACACTGATGGTTTTGGGAAGGACCTTCCAGATCACAGGACTGTGCATTTCTGATAAAATAAGAAGCAACCTTGTACCTTCCACTTGTCCCAGGTGTGCAGTTGCTGACCCTGGGCATGCCCCTGTGGCCACACAGGACAGCCCCAATGCCAGCCACTGATTATATCCCAGATGTGTTTGTTGGGTAGGGAAGTGAGTGGCCACATCACATCACATCACATCACAGTCAGCTGGATGCACAGCTGGATGTCAGCTGAAAAGCACTTTCTTGCTTTTCACTTGATTTTCAAGATCTGTGCCTTTCTTCTCTTTACAGGATGTGGCTGAGTAGCACTCCTCTGAAAAATATGAGATACCAAATATCAGAATTTGACCCTCGTGTCTTAGAAGGCAAAGTACAAGTGGATCCCCAAAAGGCAGACACCTTCAAACCTGTAAGGATGATGTTGATTACTTTTTGCAATTATTAGTTAATACCAATATATTTTGATGTTGGCTTTTGAACACAGCTAGGGATAAAAAATAGATCTGTTAGCACAGAAGCAACCTTTCATAATCAAATTCCTAAAATTCAATAAAAATAAATTTCTAGATAGTGAGAGATAGATTTGAATATCTACATATGCATGCCTAATATAATTTTCTGCTGCTAGCTACAGTGAAACACAGCAGCTGACATGTCAAGYATGCCAACAGCTCAGAGATGCTGGAGAAATAAGAAAGTCTAATATAGACTGGTTTTCAAGTTAGTTTTTCAATGCATACATTCACAGTAAACCAGGAATTGATGAAACCTGTTTCTTTTAAATTACTTGTAGGATATTGCTGCCTATTTTACTTCYTTGACAGAAGTTGCTTGTCTTAATGCCAGAAAAATTCACATTTATTTGGACAATTTTTTAATTTAATTCTTCACTTCTCTTGSTTTGCTGTTCTCACAGTTAACCTTTGCAAGATTCTACTTGCCCAACTTGGTACCTCATGCAGAGAAGGTCATCTATGTGGATGATGATGTGATAGTGCAAGGTATGGGACCTTTGTTAGCTGCCACTGGCCTCATGCTGAGGTCAGTATCTCATCTCTCACAGAACCCAAACWTTTCTGCTTCAAGRAAAGATGTAAAAACTTTGTAAATASGAGTGAATTGGGTTAAACTGGGTGTGTTTATCTGCTGTAACAATGGGCTGAACAAAGCCTAACTTGGCACTTAGTCAGGATTGTTTTTAATTTTCCTGTGCTTACTTCCATTTTCCAGATGATATTGTTGAACTTTACAACACTGCATTGAAACCTGGACATGCAGCTGCATTTTCAGATGACTGTGACTCAACCAGTAGTAAAGTTGCTGTCCGTGGAGCAGGCAATCAGGTTAGTTTTAGTCTTATTTAGTGATAACAATACTGTAGATCTCAGGCATCTGGGAATGTTCCAAATGCTGTAAACCTAAACATGTGACTGTCCCTGCCCAAACCAGTTTTACAAATAGGACCTACAGTTTTTGTTTAGGCATGGTAAATTACTTGGAACCTTTGTTGTGCTTTACAATGAGAGCAGTTCCCATTGTGGAACAGTGGGAGATCTGAGAACATCTGAGGGAGAATTTTTCACTTGTGAATGTATAAAAAGTTCTTCTTCTAAGTCTGGTACCATATTAATAATAAACTAGACTTCATTTGATTCACTAAGTTCCTATTTACTAAAATACTTGAGGACAGTGGGAATGTTACACCTCTTAAGCTTGCTTTCTCTCATTTTAAMAGAACAGATACTTCCTCTAACAGCTTCAACTTATGGCTGACTTTTGTGAGTTGTGCAGAATTTTTCTTCAGGATTTCCCCTATATTTTAAGCTAACTTCTACTCTTTTTTTTGCCCAGTATAATTATATTGGGTTTCTAGATTACAAAAAAGAAACCATCCGAAAGCTTGCCATGAAAGCCAACACCTGCTCTTTCAATCCTGGAGTTTTTGTTGCCAATTTGACTGAATGGAAATTACAGAACATCACGAAACAGCTGGAGAAGTGGATGACACTTAATGTGGTGTAAGTACCCCAAGCTGSGGGTGGTGGCAGCTCAGGGTTTGGTGTCTGCTGGGGGCATTTCCCTGTTGAATGAAGGGCAGTGTGTGTATCTCTGGATTCCTGTTGTGCTGCTGCAAGTGAAAAATCAACTAATCACCATCCTTTCCTAACTTCATTCCAACTTCTCTTCCAGTGAGGAACTTTACAGTAAGACTCTGGCTGGCAGCATCACAACTCCTCCACTGTTAATTGTATTTTACAAGCAACATTCCAGTATTGATCCCATGTGGAACGTCCGACATCTCGGTACGTAGGAAACATTTGTGATGCTGCTCGCCCAGGGTGTTTTTCCAGCTCTGTAGCTGGACACCTCACTGATGATGCTGCAAAGTGTGCTTTTATTCCCCCATTCTGCCCCTTGTTCTTTAGGAAAACAGCTTTGCAATACCAACTTGGGCCTTGTGGACCTGAGCTGGGGGTTCTTGAATTGTTTTACTTACAAAATTTTTCCACAAATATATTGTATCTGATGTGATCCRAAGGGTTTCTTCCAAAACTATTGAGAACAGACATTTGTGTCTGTTCTATTGGTAAAACCCCAGTGCTGGGAGAGCTTTTACAGGTTTTGTTTCTGATGAACAATACATAAGCTGTTGAATTCATCTGGGTGTTAAGAGGGTTTTAAAGAACTTGGAAGTTAAGGTAGCGTATGAAGGTAGGCATGGAGAGAGATCAAAGTGGCAATCAGTTGCACCTGACTGGTTTTCACTTTGCCCTTATTTGTGCCTCCCCCTTTCTCCATAAATGATAAGATGTCCCTTGTTAAATCCTTTGTTTTGAAGTTGATGTTTGCACATTGGTGTTTCTGCTGCCTTTATTTCAGGCACTAATGCTTCTATTTCAATTAAAGGGTCTAGTGCTGGGAAAAGGTACTCCCCTCAGTTTGTGAAAGCTGCCAAGCTGCTCCATTGGAATGGACATTTCAAACCCTGGGGAAGAACAGCTTCCTATGCAGAAGTCTGGGAGAAGTGGTAYGTCCCTGACCCTACAGGCAAGTTCAACCTGATCCGCAGACACTCGGAAGCCTATGAAGCAAAGTAGAGTCCATTTGAATAAAGGATGGTGTTTTCTCAGGAAACTTCTGGAGCCAAGCAGAGCTTTTTTTTCAGCCAGCTTGTATGACAAAGCTGTCCTTGCCTTCTGGAGCACAAGATGATGTACTCATTCAGGTGCTGTTCTGAAATGCACAGGTCCAAAGGAGGCTCATGTCACCTGTGTGACACAAGATGCTCCTCCAGCAGCACTACAGAACACAAGGGAAGATCTCCACCAATGAGCACTTGTTTATGTCATTTTAGTCATGTTCTGCTCTTTACTACAAGTCTTCTAGAGGAGGATCACTTTGTCAGTTACAGAAACAAAGTTTCTAAGAACAAGATACAAATATAGCTGGTACCTGCGCCAGCAAATCTTGCACAATGTACTGTAATTAAGAGCTGCCCGGGTTTTGTTCAGTTTTGTTGTTGTTTGCTTTTGTTATCCTGTGAAATAATTCCCTCAACAACCCTTTCTTGCATGAAATCTCTCCCCAACCATTTCTGTTTAAATCTTTCTTGCAGAATTCTGCAAAACTGAAKCCTTTTTGAAAGATGAATCCTTCAAGTATTATTTCACTATGCAAAATGGTTTTGACTGACAGTGAACACTAAACCCTTTTTTTGTAAAGCAGTGGATGAAACTTTGTTCAAAAATAAAGCTAATTAACATGCTGACTCCAGCCTCAGGTAAATGGCAATCTAATTCCAGTCTTGATCTAATCAGTGTTTCCTTTATACTTAAATACAAGTAGCAAGTTATTGATGCCGCAATCAACTGATCCCATGGAATTCTAAAACAGTGCAAAATACTTAWTTTGGAGACCAGGCTACATGAATTACAGATTAATTTTGTTATTGTTGAGTTTCTCAGAGTTCTCTTCAACAAGCTTGCTTCTGCTATAATTTTTCCTRCTATGCCTTTCCAAGTCTGGGAACTCATCAAATGAGATGCCTGTGCCCTCTGCAGCCAGCTGCCCATCACCTGTGCTACAGGAAACTTGATCCTTTTTTTTTATAGTTGTACCGTTAAGTTTAAGGAGTAGTTATTATTAGCTGATACATCCCAGCAGCTMTTGGGCCAGCCCTTCCAATTAATAGAGGTTCACACGCAGGTTGCTTGTGAAGAGCCCTTGGTGGAAGATGTTCAGACAAAAGGCTTTGTGTTCATGCAGTGACAGCTGAGTCTGCCTGGCCTGATACAGGGCAGGAGAATTAAAGGGCTCATTSCTGCCCATGAATGTAGTCTTAGTTCTGCTTTCTCATTTATTAGGATTTCAAACTGCTTTTCTCATTGCRGTCTGCATTTATCATTGTTTTTTAAAGACAAAAGGTGCATTCTCTGAAAAGGTCTTTTTATAAGGCAAAACAACTAAGCAAATCTATTAGGATATTTTTTAATAGGCTTTAATATAGCAAATAAACTTTATGACTTAAGGCTGAATAACAATCAGTTTCCTAGACCTGTATAAAATCTGGAACTATCACAAGAAATGACTATTATATACATTATTTGACATAGCAAGAATTGAGTCTTTGCAGCAGCTCTGGTTATGCAGCACTCGTCCAGCTTCTGCTGCAACAAATCTTCCTGATTGTTCTGAAAGCCAGTAGTAACTCTCCAAACCGTGCCTTCACACATAGTCTGTATTAAAATCATAGGCATCATCTTCATCTGCTGGTTTATCTAAGCTGAAGGACAGTGATCTGGAACGTTCATTTCCTGAGAAGAGAAAATCGTGTTAGTGAAATCAGTGCAGGTGCTGGAGTACCAGGGATCATCCTTCAAGCCAAGGTTCTAAATACACACCTGCCACCTGCTCTTTGGAATTTGTGGGACTTCTTTGTTGTTTTCCAGGCTTTGCTTTCCTGGTGACTTGAACTTGGCTTTCCTACAAGTCAGAGAGGTCAGACATTATTCAAACATCACTAATGAAATCTCCCATGCAAATGAAACCTAACAGAGCCTGGGGACAGTGTGGAAGTCCCCTTGTATAGTTGAGACTCACTGCTGAGGCCAGGTGACTTGGAACAATGTTGTTTCCTTAATTAAGAAAAAGGCCAACCCTAGTAAAACCCTCATTTACCTCTTCAATATCATCATCATCATCATCTTCTTCTTCCATATCATCCTCATCATCATCACTTTCTGTGAATTCTTCCTCCTCCTCTTCTTCCTCTTCTTCCTCCTTGCTTGTTTCCATGTTTCCCCGCATTGATCCTTCCTCYATAATTTTATTTTCCTCTATTATCCCATTTGTCATACCAGCTGACTGAAATACAATGCTGCTTGCAGGACTGGGGTATTTCAAAGCTGCAGAAGACATAGGAAGTGTCTGTTCAGTCCCTGTCAGCCAGCAGAGATGAAATGCTCACCCCCTTGAGAGGACACATAGCAATTCTGCCTCCTCCCTGCCACAAACAGGGCTCCCACACAGTGCTCTGCCACCAAAGCAGGATAATTCTCTAAGAAAAAGCTTCCTCTGAGGCATCTTCAAAAGACTGCTAGGAGCTGGAAAACTTGGATCTGAATATAGTTAAGTTAACCTACTAGATAGCAGGAAAAAATTCTTTACTGTGAGGGTGGTGAGGCCTTGGCACAAGTTGCCCAGTGAAGCTGTGGCTGCCCCATCCGCAGAAGTGTTCCATGCCAGGCTGCATGGGGCTCTGAGTGATCTGGTGAGAGTGAAAGGTGGCCTTGCCCATGGCAGAGGAGTTGGAACAAGATGGTCTTTCAGGCCCCTTCTAACCCAGGTCAATCTGTGACTCTATGGTTAATGGTAGTTTATTACAATAACAATCTTACCTTGAACAGTCCTGCTGTTTTCTTGTTCTAGGTTATTTAAATTAAAGCCCTCCCGCATTTCAGCTGTTTTTTGTCCTGTAAGATAGGGTGGTGGCTTCTGAAGTCCTGGAGGTTGTGAGTAGTACTTTATTCTGGCTCTGAGAAAATAAAATTCAGCATTAAAAACCAACTAAAGGTAACATAGTTAAATCATTTTAAATAAAAATAAAACCTAGAGCACAAAGCTCTCAAATTGCTCAACCTAACTAATCATGTGCCATCATCTGTTTAACAGCAGTTCAGTAGCTATTTAAATTTGATTGTGAAGTTGGCAACAGTATTAAGTGGATAGTCCACTCCTGAGAGGAAAAAGAAATAGCAGACTTTGTCACTACAGACCACCTGCCTGTGAAACTATGAGCTGTAAAAGCAGCTGAGCCACTTGAGCAAGGGAGATAGTCACAGTCTGAATCTGAGTTACATTTATTCCTACCCTGTAAGAATATAGGAACCACCCTAAATTTCCACAGAAAGCTTGCCACATCCTTTCTGGTCTAGAGGAGAACTACATGGACTTGGCATTTGAGAGGAAAGCAGATTTCTTTAACAGTTACAGCCTAAGTCAGCAAAGTGTCTCTGGAGTAACTGCAACAGGCTTTGACTCTCCTCATGTATCTTTCACTACTTTAGAAAGTTACCTGTGGATGGCATTCTCTGAATCTGTTACACAATTCAGCTCTTTATCAATGTAAAATGTGAGAAAGCAAGGGGAAAGCCAGCCTCTCCTTTGCTGGACTTGGTGCTTCTGCTGTGCTGGATAATAGTGAGAAAAAGGTGAGCAGCATAGAGGAAAGTTCACAGCATACTTACCCTGTCCAGTCACAAAGCACTAATTTAGCCATATTTTCTATGTCAGGAACACCTCCCTTTTTCAGCATGCCTCTCTTCTGAGCCAGTAAAGATAAAAACTCTTCAGGGTCYCTGAAATCTGGGATATTATAGTGCATCATTACCTAGGGCAAAAAAAATGGTACAGTTAGAGATACCCACTTTTCTATCATTTTAGGAATAAAAGAGCAAATCAAGTTGGATAACAATGAGGACAGTATGTGAAAAGCTGTTTTTCTCTTRCATGTGGGAGTAAACATTATAAAGCAAAATGCCTACTTCATCAACAAACTCATCTGCCATTCACCCAGACTCGTGGGTGTAGAGACAGCACACTGGTCTGTGAAAACACTTCTCAGAACTGAAAGGCAATTAGGCTTAGGTTAATTTGCTTGAAACTAGAGTGAAATCAGAGTTGGATCTGAAGTCTTCACTGTAACTACAGGAGATTGAGGGAATATCATCATTTTTCACTCTCTGATTTTATGAGGAGGTCTTAAAAGCAGTGTTGTTTACTCTGGCTGTCAGGACCATGGCACACTGTTCAGCCTTCTGTTTATAAGGATGAAAGATCACTTGGCATTGCCACTTAGCACGGTATGGGGAAAGCAGTGCATAAAATATCAGAATTASCTAAAGCAAAATGAACTTTCCTTATTGGGCCTAACAAACCTACAGGGAAGGCTGATGCAGTGAGATGTAGAATAACGACGGAGCTCACCTGCTGCTTACTGCAGTGATTTATGATGGCATTTACTCCTTCAAGCACATCTGCTGGGTCTGCTCCCTCAGGGTCTATGACACATCTCAAGGCCAGAGCCAGGGCACTGTTGGAAGGATCTGCAATTATACTTGGACTGTCCAGTATCTTTGTCTGCTTRTCAAGGTGCACAATTTGCATGGACCTATTCAGAGAGAAATGCACTGTGAGTGGATAATCAGTGAAGGATGGTAATGGTGAGGGATGCCAGACACAAAGCTCAGTGTTGGATTGAATGTACTTCATACAGTCAGTTTCAGTGTTTTGTCATCATGTGCTTTGTGTAGGAYAGAAATTTAAACATACAAAACATCAAGTTTATACATCTGTATCCCCTGGAGAGAGCTTGCATTACACAGATCCTTTCATCTTGCACGATGAAATGTGCATTTCAAACTGCACACGGGCATACTTTGCCCCAAATGGATTGAAACACAAACTCAAGGTAACTGGAACACAACAAACAGGAAAAGGAACAGCTTTTCAGACTGAGCTTACTTGGTAACACCTCTTGCCAGGCCAACGTTGCAAGCACGCTTTCCTTTWAGACTGTTGATTATGCTGCTCTTTCCCACATTAGGGAAACCTGAAGGAAATCACATAAATCYCTGTAAGTTAAATAAGAAAACTCAGCTTTTTGACACTGATCAAAACTGCTTTTGTTCACGTCTCTTTGCTAAGGTACAGTGTGAGATCAGAGTTGGATCTGAAGTCTTCACTACAGCAGTAAGACAAAGCATGTATCCTCATTTCTCACACTTGTAGGATTTGTGGTGCTACATTCAGTGGTTTTTTTTTTGTCAGGCAGGAGGAAGGCAGTGCCAGTGGAGCACAAACCCTGCCTTCCTTATGCTCCCACAGATCTCTATGCTACACATGGAAGTGCACCATGGATCACTATCACCTGATGTACTACCAGTGAGAGCCTCAAAGTAAGAACAATGACTAGAAAGCACATTTGCACACCAGGTGTTAGCAGTTTTACCTAWTCCATTAATAAAGGTAAATAAAGTAGAAACTCTTCCTATTTCTCCAAACACTTACCTACTACCCCAACCTGAATGGCTTTGTCTTGGGTCCTGCCGTGGTCTTGAAGAAGTTTCAAAAGGCATTTGGTTCCAAAATTTTGAGAGGTTTCTGAGAAATCAACACGTGCACGTCTTTTTGTGACCTGTTCCTGCTACGGGATTCAAAGGCAAAAAAAACTCGTGGTCAGGAGCTATTTAGAAAGATAAAATATGGATACTTAGATTTATTCATCTACTGTAATTTCAGTGGCAAGAATTCCCCCCACTGTGCTGCAAAGCTCAGCTGAGGTGTAAAGACACATCCACCAGTCACAGAAGTGCAATAAATAAAGGGAAATGGAATTTAAAGATGTTTCAGCTTGTATGACTGCAAACACACATGGCTTCCTCATGGGGTGGCCTGCAGTGCTCTTACCATAGTCTTGTCCTTCATCAGCGTTGCTGATTTAAAAGCAACTGTTGGAAACTCCTTCTTCAAATAATTCAACCATTTCTCTACGTTGTCCTTTGGCACTAAATCTGGAAAGAAGAGCAGTTCTTTCACTCCTTAAATAAATCTTATTATAACAAATAATGTTTGGCTGAGAACTCCRGTAAAGTACTCAGCATATTCCCCAAAGGCACCCAATGACTCTTTTTCTGCCCTTGCAGAACACATCACAATTGTATTTCTGGCCTCTGTACTAGGTTTTTAATGCTGGGTTCTTGCTAGAAGACTCTGTATGGTACACACTGACTTTCTGTGAAGGATTATCCCACAACCCCTACAAAGGCTACTCTACTACTCTTACTCTTGTTGTCGCTCTTGGCATTTTATTTTCTTTTTTTACCTGCTGGTAACTCAGTAATTTCCAGCCCTTTTAGCGAGCTCAGAGTTGGATCTTATGTCTTCAATGGAATCTCAGATTCCTTTAAAATCTTCTTCATAGCTCACCGACTACAGAACAGTGGCCAGTAAAACTTTGAGAAAACCTGTGTTTCTTACCAATTTTGTTCAGAACCAACAGCAGCTTTTTGTTTCCTCCAGAGCAAGTGACAGCTTGCTCCAGCTGAGGACACCGGCAGCCCATTGGATCTCTTGCATCCAAAACCTCCAGAACTACATCTGAGGCCTCAAGCACCTGGGTCAGAAAAAAAGACAAGGTTCAAATAAGGCATCACAGACCAAATGACAACTCTAGAGTACTTGTGGCTTACAAAAATAGTTGTATACACTTTCTTTCTGTTGTGAAAGCCTTTACTTCAGTGTTCTAGTTTAGCACAAACTTTGTGTTCTAAACAGTAACACAAAAAAAGGAAAGTAACAAGATGTCTCATTGCTGACTCTCATCTAATTACATAAAAACAGTTTAAACKTTTCACCTTCTGGAGCTCCCTGCAGAATGATTTCTTTGAATTTTTATTCAGCAGCTTGTTAGTCTTTCCTTTAGATTTGCCAGAGGATTCCTGAAGCAGATAAAAACAGAAGCGAATGACTAAAATGAGAATTAGTGTCTAATACTTGTGTGCATATTCATCACAAAAATGTAACATGTACCATGTTGCTTAAGAAGGTGCAGTTTCAGAATGACTTCTACAGGTTCAAAGAAYCAAAATCATACAGGACACCTACCTTTCCCTCTGCTTTTGCCTTGACTTCAGCTGCATTCTTTTTAGCTTCCAACTTCCTCTTTTTTTCATGTTCTTTCTGTCTGTTGAGCTTCTGCTTTTGTTTTAGTTCTTCAAGCTAATTGCAAACAAAAACCCAAGCCAGATAAAACACCTTTGAAGATGGTAAGGAAGAATGCTCTTTGTCCCCATTTCTGACCCAAATCCCTGAGACAGCTCAGTTACAAGTCCTGGCTGTCCAAGTGACTTTGGGAACTCTTTTTTTGCATCCTACTCAGAGGCAACCATCCACTAGCTTGATCCCAAAAGGGCAGCTCTGCAGCAACCACTGCAGCTGATAAAGGTGCTGCTCCCATGTCACACGCTAAATAAAGGAACAAATTGTTGCACACTGCAAAGTGCTGGAAATACATTATTTGTCCAAAGCACGTGTCTATAGGAGCATCTACAATCTGCCATGACTGCACCTCTTGAGTGCACACTTATGCACACAAAGCTTCCTTGAAACCAGGGATGGTCTCAGTTCTTGTCCTCTTTACCACAAACTGTATTTTACCCTCTGCTTTCTTTGCTCYGCTTCCCGCAGCAGCTCTTCCTTAAAGGGCGCAGCACTGGGAATTCCGGGATCTTTTTTGGGCTTTTTGTGTCCACGTTTCTTGGCCTCCTTCCTGACTTTTCGGTGGTGTTCTCTGATCTGAAGAGAGGARCAAGGAAACYTTCTCAGTCTAAGGCCAAAAGCTTCAATGTACCGGCCCCCAAAATGCAAAATGCAGCGATGGGGGCCCGGCACGGCCGGGACTCACCTTCTTCTGGATCTTGTAGCGCTTGTGGCAGCTCAGCCTCTTGCTCGCCTTCCTCAACTCTGCAGTGCACCGGGCCCGTCAGCGCCGTGTGCTCACACACACACATCCCTCGCCACCGGGGCCGCGACCGAGCTCCCGCCCCGGCGTTCCTCCGGGATCCCGGCCCCAATTCCCCGCCCCGAGCCGGGCC